GCATTCCAACAGGCTGATGTGTGAATGTTTCGTGCATGATTTAGATGACAATTTAAGAGACAATATCAATGACGTACACGAAGTATCTTCCGGTATTTGCCAACAACTTGACGATTTCCGTTGGAAGAACGTAAGAGAATCTAGAGTGCTATTGTTAGATCGATAACTAGACACAGACAAAGTGGGGTAACCATCGTTTATTGTCCAAATTGGGCTTCTTTGCACACCCGGTAAGCATTCCAAAAGTTGAATTTGGTGTAGCGCGCCGATCATCACGATGAATGAGCAGTATCCGCTAAACAAAGCTTGGATGCGGGGAGTTTCGGTGTTGCTCTCACTCACCCCAGCACTACAGGACGCGTTTCGTCCTTTCTCGGATGCATCAGGTATTGGACAGCCTGAGTCCAGAGTGGAACTCGGCACACAGTGGTTGGTGGCTATCACCATGACCACAAGACCGTTGAGATCCGCGGGTACTTCAAAACCTGACTACCAAAGCTTGTATGCTTTAGCAAACATTCGATCTTGCTGTGCACTGCTGATTCTGGGTCACCATGTCGCGTATCATGCAACATTTTAAGCGGCATAAATGGTTGCTTCGGTAATTAATTTTAGGAAAAAAGAGTATCACCGTGAGTAGCATCGTGACAAAGCTTCGCAGCCAGACAAGCGCGTGGGCTGAGTACACCGCAAAGTCGCCCGCATCTTCGGAGATTTGAACCGGTGACCTCCGGATAATAAGAAAAGCATCTAACCCTTTCGGGAACAAGCAGGATCGTGGTCACACCGCAATAATTACTCGGGATCAAATTCTGTGGGGAATATGTGATAATGAGCAGCCGCAATGACATGAAAAATCCAGGCTTCTGAACTTGCAGTTAGTAAGATCCGCCTGGGATATAAATATCCCAATCCCTCTGTGCAAACTGCATCATATGACCCATCGGACCGTATCCCCAAGTAAAGAGAAACGTGACAGTTATTATTGTTATTTCACCCTACTTCTCTATTTTCTTGCTTTTATCTGTTGTCCACGACTGGGCCAATCTAATGGGGTGGTGGTTTGAAGCTTCCATGATAATCAGTACAAGGTGAAATATCATAGACTCACCGGCGATTAATACAAATATCGGACTCGAAAGAGTTGAATGGCGGAACAAGCTGGATGGCTTGAGCGCTCATCCAGCATGCATCTAACGACGATCTTAAAGATTAGTTAATGCGATGATGATTTACTTGCCACACAGCCAGATGGGGCGTGGAGGAAGGACAACTCTGCATGGAAGTAGGCCCCACGAGACGGTTCAACGGATGTCCGTATTATTTAAACGAGATTTGACTACATGTATACTTATTCTCATTGTCAATCTTTCCGCCTATTTAATACACACTTGACTGGTCGATCATTCCGAAAACTCATTTGGCAACCGCCACAAACAAAACGAACAATTATCGGTGTAATACCATCCCAATGCACAGATTGATTGGACAACCAAATTGGACAGTATCTCGTGCTTTTGAGGAAGACACTATTTAACTAGTTATTTATATGCCGATATCGGTACCACAGCCTATCAAATTAAGCTCTCGCTCCGAATCAACTGGGATCGACTAAACAAAACTTCGTTCCGGAAATAAATCTACCATGTTGCCAGTAACCATCGATGGCGCATTGTACTCCAAGATTGTAGATCGATTTGCAGTGCATGGCCAGGTCTCGGTTATGTCACAATATGTCCTTTTATGGCTCAGTGAAACACACGACCTCGAGACTTGTTGCCCCTTGACCACTCCCAATTCGAGAAGTAACAATGTCAGAATTGAAGAGTTGACCAACAAAGACGAAATCGGTACCGATTCCATTGGAAATTATTGAGAATACCTGTAGCTCGGGGTGTGGATGAGAGGATTGTCCTGTTCTCCGAGCCGGGCATTTCTGTTACAGACGTTTCGTTACCAAACTAGGCAACATCTTCAGTGCGGCTATTCAGTCCTGATTCGTGGTCTCGCAAACCAATGTCATATCCGAATAGTCACTCGGATATGACATTGGTTTGCGAGACCGCGAATCAGGACTGAATAGCCGCACTGAAGATGTTGCCTAGTTTGGTAACGAAACGTCTGCAAGCGAAATGCCCGGCTCGGAGAACAGGACAATCCTCTCACTGATTCCATTCTCCCATAAGCAGCCATAAAAAGAGCGGGAAGCCACTCTAACCTATCAGACTGGTTTAATCGGACTGTATCTGCATCTATGAAGCGGCCAGTAGCTAGTGTGGATAAAGGAAAATGGTTTCAGGAAAGTCTCCGAGAGCCAACAATACAAGGAAACGACAAGCAACTAAAATTTCAAAAATGCCAAGGTTGATAAAGATAGCGGAATCGTGTACTACTGGAAACAGTCGGGTGCCATTCTAACATATTACGAGAGTGTTCACGACTGAAGAAGACTTGCAAACCTATGGATCGAACGGTCCAAGATGGGGAGCAGTTAAGCCCTTACTGACGTAGATGCTTTCGACGATACTTTCTAGGGACCTATTGTATTACTTCCCTAATGTTTTTATCAGTATCACCATGAAAATGTATACCCGTGATGTTTTGAAATGACTATGTCCCCGCGCAAGCTAACAACGATAATCGATCTATCAGGAATAAAGACAGAACTAAAGAAAAGGGAATGCATTTGTTGAAAATGCGTCCTGCTAGGTGAAGGGTTACTGTCTAAGAGCAAGATTTGGCGGATACCCACTTTTCTTATCAAACATGTCCGTTCGAGTCTGAGGATAATGGAGGACCCTAAAAGCATTATGTACTGTCGTGAATACGCATAACTAGGAGTCCCTATGCTGCAAGAGAACTGCCTCCATAAAGGTGTTGTAGATTCTATTGTGGCAATCGACGGTTTTATTTGTTTTCGTGCTGACAGCTGATGCAAGTAACGGAATCGTGGAGGCGGTGTCATCAGCTTAAGTAACACTTTGTGGTACATATAGGTGAAAAGATTGTTCTGCTACTCAACATACCAGCTGCTTGGTCCAAAAGTTTAAACCAAAATATTTGAGTGGATACCGCTCAAGTTTGCTGACCAATATTTATACATTCCAAGCTATCCCAACTCAGAAGCAGTAAAGTTTGACGATATTACGGCTGCTGTTATTGGGCAAATCGACCAGTCGCTGTGCATATTTGCTGGTGATTGCAATAGATTCTATACCATATTCCTTATAACTATGGGGCTACAGAATATTAGAATGAATCAAGGGAGGCAGAATCTGAGTAAAGAATTCTTTTCGGTAATTCTCATCAGACTCAAACATTACATGATTGGACAGAATGTTTAATTTAACAGGAACAAATCAATAAATCACGGGGTCATTGAAAGCCGCAAGTATGTATAGGGGAAATCACAGCCGAAGTTGTAGGCCACGGTAGAAGTGAAGGGCGTACAAACTGTTTTTGTACGCACAATTCTGGCTTGAGGTGGCGGATGTAGATAGCTTCCGCAATAGACAGAAGATGCTTCCGGAATCCGCGCGTGAAACGTTCATGAACAGTATAGATGACTCTAAAATCATTTTCCGTTCCTGCGTGACTGCACCCTAGAAGGTGAGACAAGATGGAACTGTGACTGGATGTCGCTTAGCCTATTTAGCACTTTCTCGTCATCATGTAATGTTTGAGTCTGATGAGAATTACCGAAAAGAATTCTTTACTCAGATTCTGCATCCCTTGATGCATTCTAATAAATGGGAATTTTTGGATCGCTGAGGATCAGCATTCCCCGTGATTCAGTCAAGCTACAGAATATTGTAAAATGTTCCTCCAGGTTAGAGGCGACTCTACAATGAAAATATTTTAGGTTTGCAATCGGGCATCACTCGGCACCTTGGATCACTCTATGGTTTACATTAAGACAAACCATAAGGATTCCACTCGCTGCGGTGATCGTAGGTAGAAATAGAGACAATCCCTTCCTTTAAACTGTGCATAGAGAAATGGTTGTCCCCACGGAACTTAGTTTGTTTTTCGACATAGATGTGTTAATATACTGTGAGCAAGTAACAAGTTATCTGAGATTATCTTATGATCTCTGCTGTCTGACAGAAACCCGTATCATCCGTGCAGACCCGTTTTCTTCGCGGACTCAACGAGGGATTTCAAAAGCAAATATCGTGCTTTAGTGAAGTTCCTTTCTGCTTGTATTAGGAAGGAAGAACACCACGTCAAACATGACTACGTCCAGACAATTCTGAGTAACCACAGTTGCCGTAAGATTTGGTGGATGATGAAACAATTCAGCGCGGTCATCTGTCAAGGCACAGACAGTTAAATGTTCCCTTACTAGTCAAAGAAAAAGTGTAAAATGGTGGAGTGTAGCTGACGCTGTTGGACAGAACAGGCAAATAGCAACATTGTGTTGAAGATATTAAGGAACTAAGTGTTGTTGATGAGCTGAGAATGCGTAACATCACCCTTTCATAACGGGGTCACGGCGTGAGTAATGCGGGTGTTCATCCGTTGTCGTGGGGAAAAATGATATGGCGCAGACTAGACCATCGTTTGAACTTGAACGCTTTGGTGCCGACTTAACAATTCCTGTCGCAAGCTTATCGAATACCTACGACGATGTGTGTTACCTTCGGATGATGCACCCGGGTGTGTAAACCTTCATAGTAGTCAGTACAGGACATGTGAAGACTACGAAGAAAGTGAACAAGTCATTCGGATCAGCGTAGGCCCTTTCTATGAAAAGCCTCAGAGTTAGTTACATCAGGCTTCGACAAGACGCAGCCATGAACTAAGTTGCACGTGATCGCTTAATTGCGGGCACTTGTTTATTTATCTGTGACTGTTAGAACTTTCGCGTTCGTCGCCGATTTTTTCCCTGACTATTATGACGGCGCGAGATACGGAAACCGATGCACCGCAATTCGACGGTCAGGCTCTCATCTGAATGGCTGGGCCCAAAACGGCTGGAGATAAATTATCATTCATTGGGGAAAACGACTCAAGGTCACTGAGGGCCTCTATGGTTATAATACGAATATGACCAATAAACGAGCAATAAAAACTGGCGAAAAAGAAACCCAAACTTATCGGAGAGGGACAATCATATATAACACAAAATAAAGGGCTATCGACATCTTATCAATCACAAGCGACAGTTACATCACCGGATTCGGGGGTCAGATACTTTTCAAGAACAAAAGCCGTCTGTGGCTGTACACATCGGTAGTAACCTTCGACTTCTCCAGTAACTACGAAGCCAAAATGTTGATAAAAAGCTAGGGCAACATCGTTTTCCACATGGACATGTAAATATATGCTTTTTATATCCCCATGTTCTTGACAAAACTTCATGACATGTTTAAGCATAACTGTCCCGATTCCATAGCCTCTGTACGGAGCTAAACAGCCAAGGGTCATTATGTAACACTTCTTCACGCACACATCTTCGGTACCCGCCTCGGATTTAGAGGAGACTTTATCGATCCGGTAGCTCACAGCTCCAACCACAATGTCGTTGAAGTAGGCAAGCCTGCACATGTGACTGTTTTTCAAAAGATCCGTATAGAACTTTTCCGTGTACGAAACTGGAAATACAACTTGATTGATGAGGCGGAACTGTTTTATGTTGTGTGGGGTCAGCTGATCCAACTCAATCCGATAGTTTGCAGCGCGGCGTTTCTTTCTCTCTCCATAAGGCAGCATCTGCAGGCACTCCGAGGCAGCACTCATAGATCTAGACGGCTGATATTAGGAGCAACGCTCCAACGTAAAGTGATTCAAACGTGCTAAAAGAGAGAAAAAGTTTTGATAGCAATTGAGGAAAGCAAACCGAACAGTTCATCAATACACTCAATGAAAACGAGAAACAATACGGCGTGTCGAGGTAAGCGGAAAAATGTTCGACAAAAAAGGAACGATAGTATGTTAGCTCACCAACTTTTCAACTAAGCTCTGTCGTAGTAGATTTCTTCATCGGATGAATTAGAAAAAAGAGGTGGAGACAAGACTATGGACAATGGTTGGTACACTTTCAATAAATGCCTCCAAATAAACCCCTTGAGAACGAGATCCGCTGCAGCGCACCAACTCGCATTCGTGTCTCCCACCGTCCTTCGTAATAACAATCACATGGCTCATGAAGCGTTTCGTACAACGACAAGAATGAGGCAGGTCTTGAAAGTGGTCCGTCGATGGTAACATTCATTCATTAATTATACACGTCAACTGCACCTCAGCTATTGTGCCGCAATAAAAAAGAGAAGAAAAAAAACAACAGAGGCACGCCGGCTGAGACCCCAAAAACGGATGGACATCGTTCCGGAGAACTAACAACCGGCTATCGTGCCGCAGAAAGTTATATTATGCCTAATGAATGAGATCGTGAAGGGAGGGGGAGGCTAAGCAAGAGGTGGATGGATAAAGGAACTCACAACAAAAACGCCACTGGGGCCGGCTCCTAGCCATACCAGCAAGTGTGTCCAACCAAACGTGTTAATCGTCACACAGCTCAGCGAAGAAATTTCTTTTCGATATTTCTCATCTGGCTAATACATATACAACACTGGTTAAAATCGTGATAGGCTAAAATGGCAAGTCTAGCGTTGGTCAAGTCCAAACAGGCTGCTCTGGTATTCGATCCTTTGCAATCGATTATAAGAGCTAAGCTCACACGTATACACACATGTTCACAATACAACACACCACGGTTCAGCTGTCCGAAGGAGTGAAAAGGTCACTTTCGGAGGTCGAGAAGAACGGCGAGTCACAGTAAAATAATGGACAGGGTAAATGGAGCTTTTGAACTAGTATCCTCTGCATGCATAATTCTGGTTGCATCAGCCGGATCGAAATAGCCACGGCCGTCATGAGTAGGCGCCTTTTAACTCCTTTTAGGTAGTGTTTCGGCACAACATATAAAACTTGAAAAGCCTCTGTCGTCACGACTTGGTGCCCGCTCTGGACTAAATGTTCCAAAACAGCATTTTGGCCCTTTTGACTGCGTATTCATCGTCCTTAGGACCCCAGTCACGCAGTCGGGATGCATCAACCGACGCCAACTTCGAAGTGGGTTTTCATTTCTTTTGACTCAGTCATCGCTTGACCTCCTCCTCTTCCAACCGCACCACCGGCGCGCAAACAATGCACGTCGCGGGAGTCAAAGTGCGCTGGTATGCGCAACACGTGGTCCAGCTATCGGAGCTTGGTGCGTGATATAACGGTGCTGAGCGGTTCACTCGCTCTTCCTGCACCAAATACGCGGCGCCGAACATGCTCATTGCTCACGCGGTGCTCCCACCAGACACGAGCTAAGCTGCGAAGGTAGCGATGGTCGAAGGTGACGAGCCTCTTGATTTCTGTCGAGCTGATGGCCTAGGTTTCACAACCGTATAAGAGGGTTGAACGGACGGATGCATTATAAACTTTGCCCTTCAGGGCGAGAGTGATGCCGCGTTTGCGAAATAGGTGGTGGAGATTGGCAAAACCATCTCGAGATTCGATCCCACGGGCGCTAATATAGCTGCCGAGGTACTTGAATTCCTGAACAACTTCAAACTGATCACCAACAAAGGTAAGTACAGGGGTGGGGTCCCTGCCAATCTTGGAGAAATACTTTGCATTTAGATGGAACAAAGCATAGCCCAAGAGGATAGACAGCCAGCGCTAATCGGTCCAGTGCAGCCTCGCACGTTTAGGTGCTGTCACCAACGAGGGCAATGTCGTCCGCATACTCCAAATCAAGAAATCGCTCATCAGGAAGTAGCTCCACACCTTCTAAGTCCTATCCAGAGAACGCTGTTTCCATGACTCCATCAACAGCAAAGTTAAAGAGGAAAGGTGACAGCGGGTAACCTGATCTCACACCGCTGGAGATATTGAAGGGCGACGACAGTTTGCTATAAACCCTCACTCTGCCCGAACTATGCGCGTACAGCGGTTTGATAATGTTTACATATTTATAGGACACACCTTTTCTCAGTAGACAGTCCCAAAGGGGACATCGATCGGCTGAGTTCAAGGCACCTTTGATGTCGAGGAGCATGACAACGGTGGGTCGCCAATAAACATGGCGGCGTTCCAACAATTGACCCAAGTGAAAAGACAGTCGACGCAGCCTCGATTTCGAGGAAAACCGGCTTGTTCTTAGCGGAACTGGCCTTCACGACCGCCAGTCAATCTGTGGAGAACGACAGAAGTAAGTTAGAAGCAATTGATACCAGACTGATTCTTCTATGGTTGCCGCATTCCGAACGGGGGTCTCCCTTGAAAACTGGGACTATTGTGGAGCGGCTCCAGTCTGTCGGGACAGTTTCCTGCTCCCAAAGTTCCCCTAGCAACTCGTGTAAACCATCTACAAGAGCAGGTCCTCCGAATTGGTAGAGAGCTGGGGGAATTTTATCTGCCCCTGCGGTTTTAAGTAATTTCAACAATTTGACCTCATGTTCAACTTCTGCGCGTGAGGACGGATTTAAGGAGATGTGCCATGGAGAAGGGCACTCAATGTCCGAAAGAAAAAGCGACAGTAACAACACAAGAGTATTGCACAGCGAAATGATATCGCACAGATGGAGGCGCAATATAGAATGACTGACATAACGGGGTGGTGCCTGTGTTGCTGTCGACATTGCAATCACACTCAAGCAAACTGATCGATCACCTAGCTGCCTGATGGTGCGATTTTCGGAAAGTACAAAACCATCGGAGTTTAGTAATCCTGGTTAAAAAAAGTGAAAAAGTGAGAGGGCGAGGAGTGAAAGAAACGCTGGCATCGGGCCGGCGCAGATTCACAGTTGAGCACCAACTGCAGTAACCTGAATGGATAGTTGTCAATGCCTCAAATCACCCATATTTGACGACTGAGGTGGAAAGTGCTAACACTCTAATGTGTTCGCAGATGTACACTGTAACACGGAAAAAGTCACGTTAAACCATAAAAATCCGAAGAGACGTGATAGGTCTCAAGCAAAATTCTGTTGGAATTTGCGAAAAATGATCCAAGAGCTCGACTTGCACACCAGTGCATTGAAGGTCGGATAACCGGTTGAACTGCCAAGTGCCGTTCTGTCAAGCAAGAAGCAATACTACTGGGTGAACCGATTTATTGGGGCAGAGTCAAAAGTCGACCAGAAGACATCACTTGCCCATCGCTCCAAATCGAGTCCGGTAATGCGTCTTCATGGGTTTTTTCGTTGAACATCGCTCCTCATCGGGTCGTATAGATATCTACTGGTGAAGTGCCTTCAGAGTGGTGGCTGTCAAATGTCGTGTCCATCTTCAAAAAGAGTCAACAAGGTTAGTGCATTCTTCCCACTGAATCCGAAAACATCACGGGTATCATTCTTCGACGACAAACTAGTCCTAGTGAGAGCAGAACAACAGAAAGCTAGGCCGGCTTCCGACTTGGTCGTGGTTATATCGACCAACAAATAGTCCCACAGACGACCGACTATGGTGGTGTTCTTCGACTTAACAGCCGCCTTCGATTATGTTGATCGTGCCAGCTTGTGACACTGCCTATGTGTGAAGCGCGTGTCAAAAAAGTCCTTTACCATCCAGAAGTTTCTCTACCAAGATTACCGAGGAAGAAAGTCTACGGGAAGCTATCTCACGAATTAATCATGACAAATTAGGTTCATCGGGGTTGTATTACATATCGTATCTTCAACTTTGTGAGCAAAATGATCACAAAACAACTCCGTACTTTCAGGCTCTTCCGGAGTGAAAGTTTTGCCAGGTGACTGAGTGACAAACTTTGAGTATGTGGACAGCATAGCTCTTCTTGGGTCTGGCGCAGTGGCTACTGTTATAACTGCCTTTTGGCCACGCCACGCTCTGACGAGCTGGTATCAACTCTCCTAGTCGGCCGGACGAATGAGGCTTGGAACTATTTCACGAACGACAAAATAACCGACTAAATTCGAAGTTGCACGATCCGTGAGACTTAGGCGCAACACGATTACTACGCACGAGTTGAACGGGCTCCTAGAACGAACGCAATTTCACACGCAGCTACGCAACCTCAGAGAAAAGAAAAAAGACAGGCCTTTCGCGTAAGCACTTTTACCCGCCCAGCTCAAAGCGATTATAGCGCAGTCCAGCGTTTCTTTTATGGCGCCAATGATTTGCGTAAATAAACCCTGGAAGCAACTGAATTGGTACTATGCAAATATGCCAACGGAACAAGTTGAAAAGTGAATGCTGGTAGATGCGGAGGCTGGACTGGAAAACTGAACGTTTCTTATGTAAAAAGGCTGAATGTTTTATGATTGAAGGGAGGTTGGCCAGGAACAGGAGCTTTTCTGAGGTACAAAGGCCAATCAAAATGTGAATGTCGCACGAGTTGGAAGGCTGATCGAAACAAGTGCACTCGTCTGAATCGAGTCTCATTGCCTTCCGTGGTTTAAGCTTATGGTCAGTATGGGGACGTCGGGTCCGCATAACAGCTACTAAATGGACTGGCGTGTAGCGCTGCACACCATGGCATGTGCTTTGCACTTTCAAAGTGCAAAGTATTGTTAAAGGACCGGACCGATATGCTACCGGTTCTAGTTGTCACCCAACAAACACTGGAGAAGGTGAATCGGCTCAGTTACCTTGGTAGCTTTGTTAACTCGCATAGCAGCAAGGCCCCTATGCCTTTACAGAGGCACAACAGCTTAAGGAGACGGCAAGACATCCGATTGTCAAAGTGGGGCGCATACCGCTGCGACAAGGCAGGTGTTACTGTATGGGTCAGAGAGCTGGTAATGTTTGATCACCGGTGTCTACGGAGTATCGCTCACATTTGGTGGAATCATCCGGTGAGCAATGCTGAAGTCCGCCAGTTGGTTTTTCTCAAGAAACAGTCTAGTGCCCCACTCGAGTAGCTGCCGTAGTTTAACCCCCCAAGGTTGGCTAAGGCATGTCCTCCGTAGGCCAGTTGATCGGCTTCCTCGCCGTGCATTATACGTCGTCGCTGCGCTAAGTTGGACGAAACCGTGAGATGGCCAGCCGATGACATGGCATAAAGGCATAAGAAAATTGAGTAAGAGACTCGGGCAGGCTGAGGAGTGTCGTTATCATGGATGGGGGACGGTCCACATCAGTGGTTGGAGACTATCTGACATGGAACAGTCGCGGTCAATGGCGCTCTAGCACCCGATTTCTCGCACCTTGTTAATTTTCATTCCATACGGATTAGTTCCAAGCAATTCTGTCTTGATTCCATTTTATTCGTATTCTATTTGCGTTGAATTTCATCTTCTTACAGTCGTTATTTATTATTCTGGCGACGTGAGTAGTGGCAACTGGATTAAATGCACTTCGGTGCAGGTTGGCCGATCGGGCTCAGAGTGCGGACGTTAAAAAAACTGTTGTCTAATGATAACAATGATCTGAGGAGCGAGCTACACGTATCGATGGCAGTAGCTGCGAGGTCAGCAGCAGTCTCGCGCTCATTAGAGGAAGAACAGTTGAGCAGCGAGAGGAAAACAAGACGAGGGAGTACAGTCGACGGGGTAGAGGGCAGATGATACTCTCCGGCTGACCATTCCGAGAGACTGGCTTTGCTTGAAGTGCCCTACCACAGTCTGACCCACAAGGCAATGGGGTACATAGAGGTTTGCTTGAGGGACTCCACCCGGAGCAAGTCCAGCTCGAGAAACCCACTGGGATCTGCTTAAGGTCTGCCACACACACACGCTTTGACAGGTGAGAACAACGCCCAGATGTTTTACGACTGTATTATACTACCCACTGCAGGATAAAGGTTCAGTCCATTCATGACCTAATCCCCATTAGGCATGTGGGTCAATTAAAGCCATTTCGCTAAGATTTCAAAATTGAGTTGGTAATACGTATCTGTGCAGGGATGGCAAATTATTGTATATGCTTCCAGTTCCGGCCTAATCATGTTGAGTGTGATGGATACACGTGAATAAAAGCCCCCAACTGCTTAGCCGTTAACAGTACCCAAAAACGACGCTTCTCCGTTTTGGTGTACATTTCGAAAGTTGGAGCACAAGACTCGATAAGTTTTCTTAGTGTTAACACGTTGGAAAATTGCTTTGGAAAGTTCGCGGAAAGTGAACGATACCGGCAAGTAGCTGACTAGCGATTGGCACGATCACGTTGATGCCTCATGCTATGTTTCCTATATTAATCATGAGAGTGAACATAGTCATATTTCCTATTATTTGTCCCATAGACGGAAGTTAGTTGAGTTTAAGGAAATTTCGTTATTATTTGGGGTTAAAAGCAGAAACGCAGAGGCAGTTGCTAGAATTCAAAGCAGAAATGGCTAACTTTCCGAATAGAGCTAGAAGGTAATGTCAATAGTGATGGCAGGTTAGTGCCGAATGTTTGGAGCGCCGAATGGTAGCACTCGAGAAGCCAGATGTTTGACAGTGGGGAGCGGGACTTATTTGCTGTGGTCGAACCAAGAGGTCATCAGGGCGTGTGTGATGTCACCACCTGTTAATGCTTAAGTTAGAGCAAGAGACTATTTTCGAGAATACGCACATACCTCGGACAGGAGACGGTCGGACCGGTCCAAAGCAGAGTTAAGCGACAACGCGAAGAGACTGCAGATAATACCCCGTCGCATTCTCACACTATGCGACCTCCATCAAATGCAAGTCCGACTTCACATATAGGAGATTGTATATACTATATTATACACACCAAAGATAAGTTATCTTTGCTTTACTGTATCACTTCCTTTTATATCATCCCACATGGTAGTCGCATTGATGGCAGTTGTATCCTTATTCACATACCTGTCTCTAGCTATTATTGGTATAAAGGTTACACAGGTTCACGCAGAGTTCAGTCCAGTTCAGTTGAGCGACTATGATCCGAGCAACGAAATGTGATGGATCCAGTTGCCACGACTCACATAGTAAGAATAACAATAAATAACAACGGTGAGATAGTGGGGTTAAAGGTAAATAGAATGTAGAGAAAATGGAAGCAAGAAGGAACTGAGTTGAACTAATCAGAATGGGACGAAAATTAACGATCAGATGCAAGGGATAAAATGCAGGAACGCTACTGACTGCGTAATGTTTGATACGGGCTCCAATCACTGGTGTGGATCATCCCGAGGCCCCCATCCAGGAAGACGGCGCGCACCAGCTTGACCAAATCTCAGTCAATTTCTTCATGCCTTGTTGCCACGTCATGGACTGACAACCTCGATGTTTCGCTCAACTTGGTGCAGTCACGGCGTATAATGCAGGCCGAGGAAGTAGGTCAACGGGCATACGGAGGACTTGGCCTAGCCAATGTAAGTGATTAAGGTTCAACAAAATCTCGAGTAGGACACCAGAAGGTTCCTTGCCGAAAACCAACTGGCGGACCACAGCATTGCTAACCCGGTATTGCTACACGACGTGAGAACCAGTGGTCAAACACAGCCAAACGTTTAATGTCTTCGCTGCGAACACGCCAGGTCTCTGATCCATACAATAACACTGGTCTCATCGCAGCGTTATACACCTCACCTTTCACTGACAAGCTGATATCCTGCGGTCTCCATAGATGAATGAGCCTCTGAAAAGCCACACGGGTCTTGCTGATACGCGAAGTAACTTCCTCAGTGATGTGAACACCAGAGGTGACACAGCTGCCAGGGTAAGCGAAGCGATCCACAACTACTAGTGGTTGCTTGGTGATAGCTAGGATCGGAGATGTGTCGATCCAGTGCTGTAGCAGCAGTTTGCAATTGAAAGTGCAAAGGACAAGCCAAAGCGTCCAGCGCCAGTCTATCCAGCAGTGATTGCACAGCGACTGCGTCAGACACCAGAAGAGCTAGATCGTCCGCATAATAGGTTCGTCAGTCGGTAACCTGAAAGAGGGTTCACGCATAAACCATAAGTAATCACCGGAAGCTCTTATTGGTTACTAACTTGCAAGTACCATCTCCAGAAGTTGAAGATGACTTTGACTTACCTCCGATCCAAAATGATGAACGTTTGTGGTACTCTTGTCCATGAGGGTAAATGTTTCTCCATCCAGATTGTGGTAGTTCACACACATGCGCGTACTTGGTTATGCTGCATTGCAATTGCCATTGGGCACTTGATAAGTTGGCTGGTGAAGGCTTATATATATATATATATATATATATATATATATATATATATATATATATATATATATATATATATATATATATATATATATATCTGCATGCATTAGAATCCAACGTAGCAATATATGGTTGGCTGCATCCAGTTTCGGATTGGCCTGTCACTGTGGCCAGCCACAGGACGCCAGCGCTTACAGAGGGACTATGTGCGGCTCGCGCTGCACCACCCACAGCTCCACCCACACACCCCATACCTAGTGTAAACCCGAAGGAATAAGACCGGGAGGCATGGGGATGAGAGCCAGGTTTCATCAACGGAGCCGGCCCACACTCCTTCAGAGCCAAACACAAGCACGCTGTAGTTGGGGAATCAATCGCACACAAGAGGGTGGCTGGATTGTATTCCGCCTCACACGCTTTCAGTCTAGCATGACCACAAGGACCGTGCACCCCGTCCCCTCCAGCAACGAGGTAGTGGGTAACGGACAGGTAGGCACCTCGTCAACATGCACATCAAGCGCAGCCACACCAGGGATATCAAGCAGCAGTCAATCACTTAAAACGACGATTCCAAATAAACTAAATCAAATAATGCATACAGATACGGTGACATAAATTGGTTGCAAAAAAATCTGCGGGAGGTTCAATACGTCGGAAAATATATTTTAAGAAAATGTCCCAAAGGCGAAAATATCATTGAAGTTAACTACAATTAGCTTAAGCGACGTGTGCAAGTTTATAGAAGATAGTTCAAGTAGACATTAATACGAGATAAGGAAGCATTAGGACAATATAGCAAACCTACAACCTGAAATAAAGAAACTCAACACCCAAGCACGCGGTTAGTAAATCGAATGCAGCGTACCTACAAACGCTGCGCCGGTTCTGCTTACGTTCTCTGTAGGACCCGTCGTCGCCCCGGTGTTGGTCCCGCGTGGCCTCGCTCATGGCTCACTAGGGCTGCCTGACTCAGGCACTCGCGACCGCATGTGCTAGACCATCATGCGCTCGCTGTCGATGGAGTACAACCCATCGGCGCCTGTAGCTTCCGCAGTTGCCGCTTCTTCGCTGCATACATGAAGGATTTCTATTGTACCTCGGTAACGGCCTTCGTGATCAGATTGCGTCATGCACGCCGATCAACCGCTTTCGATTCCCATGACCTGCAATCAATATTAGAACGTGAGAGGCTCACTTTGATCATGTCCTGGTGACGTAACTTCGGTTTTCCCACATGCCGCTTCACCAAACTCAGTTGACCACATAACAGCTGCTGAAGTATCCGCGTCGAATCCATACACCACACATGACCGAGCCACCTAAGGTGTCTCAACAAAAGTATGCAGTCCACTGCATACATCCCACTTTGTTGCCACACTTCCGTGACACGTGTACTTCCTGGAGCTGAGTGTGACACTGATCACAAATTGGTACGCACCACCATTCCTCATCATTATACACGTCAGCTAGAGTTTGGAATCACCTCAGCTATTGTGCCGCAATACAGTGTAAACCCGAGGGAATAAGACCGGGAGGCATGCGGATGGGAGCCAAGTTTCATCAACGGAGCCGGCCCACACTCCTTCACAACCAAACACAAGCACACTGTATTTGGGGAATCAATCGCACACAAGGCGGTGGCTGGACCGTAGTCCGCTTCACACTGAGTGCACGGAACCACTCTACGAGCCTAGCACGGCCACAAGGACCGTGCACCCCGTCCCTTCCAGCAACGACCAACTGTCTCCTGGAGCCAGTATGAACGATGTAGTGGGTAATAGACAGGTAGGCACCTTGTCAACATACACATCAAGCGCAGCCACACCGGGGATATCACGCAACAGCCATTCACTTGAAACGACAAGCTGAAATAAAATAAATCCAATGATGCATCCACCTATGGTGGCATAACTCTTCGCTAAATTACCATATGAAGTAAGTTGGTTAGCAACGAATCCGCGATAAGTAAGAAATGTCCACAAGTTACTTAAAAGTGCTACAAACGCAACAAAATTACCGAAGATAAGCGCAATTAGCGTAAGTAACGTGGCCAGTTAATAGAACATTATTCAGGTAGGCAGAACAAACCAAATAAAGTGGAATGAAATTTATCCAGCTTAAAAAGACCTAGTTTAAGCGTAAGTTGGTTTAGCCCAAATGCGATAAAGAAGCATCAAGAATGCAACATCAGCCTCAGCATGGGGCACAATTGCATATATATATGCTGAGGCCGATGCTGCATTCATGGTGCTTCTTCACCGCAATTGGGCCAAACCAACACACAAACTTAATGTTCTTAAGTTGGATAAATTTCATTCCCCTTTATTTGGTTTCTTCTGCCTACATTAATAAGCTTCTATTAACTTGCATTCGTTGCTTAAGCTAATTGTGGGTATCTTCATTAAATATCGCGTTTGTAGCGTTTTTTGAATAACTTGTGGACATTTTGTACTCAGCGCGGATTGGTTGATAACCAACTTACTTCATATGCTAATTTAGCGAAGAGTTATGTCGGCATGGCCGAATACTTTGAGATAAATTTGATTTGAGAATGTCATTTCAAGTGATTGGCTGTGGTCTGACATCACCGGTATGACCGTGCTTGATGTGCATGTTGACAAGGTGCCTATCTATCTATTATCCACTACCTCGTCCATACTGGTTCCAGGAGACAGTTGGTCGTTGCTGGAGGGGAAGAGGTGCACGGTCCTTGTGGTCATGCTAGGATCAAAGAGTGGTTCCATGCACTCAGTGTAGAGCGGACTATGGTCCAGCCACCGCTTTGTTTGCGCTTGGTTCACCAAATACAGCGTGCTTGTGTTTGCCTGTGAAGGAGTGTGGGCCGGCTCCGTTGATGAAACCTGGCTCTCATCCACATGCCTCCCGGTCTTGTTCCTTTGGATTTACACTAGATATGGGGTGTGTGGTTGGAGCTGTGGGTGGTGCATCGCAAGCCTCCCATGGTCCCGCCGTGGCGTCCGGAGGTTGGCAATAGTGACAGGCAAATCCGAAAAAGGATGCCGCCAAGCATATAGTAGCAAGCCTATAAGAAACGACAAAGCCATTCAAAACCATGAACATGTAAGTAGGAACAAGAATATATACGATATCAAAAGGTAATGAGGTATCAATAAGAACACTTTTGTCTTTTTTCACACGTCAGTTTTACAAGCTTTTTTGTCTTAAGGAGTTATCACTTTTGGAATCAGGAGTTCATGGACACTTGTGCGAATTGTTTCCATTGCAGCCGGTATCGCAAGCCGTCGGTATGCTTCATCTTTCGACCACCCGGATTTCGTACCGGACCAGCAATTGATAGACAGGATGTGAGCGATTTGATGCTTTGACGCCAAGTGATCGGGTGGCTAACACGCAGCTTTTCCAATACAGTCCTCTACGCACAAATAGGGCGCGCCGTGGCAATCGCTCGTCAGGCATGCGCAGGACATGGCCAAGCCATCTCAACTGGCGCGATAGAACAAGCTAATGGAGTGGGAAATTCGCCTTGCCAAGGATGCGCTGTTTGATATCATCATTGCGCGCCCGATGTTGCTACCAAAAACGGGTGATCCTCCGCAGACAGACGTCATGGAACGCCGAAAACCTACACATATCGTCCACTCGAATCCACCAGGCTTCGAATCCATAGAAAAGTTTCGAGCGAAGATAGGCAGTGCCAACCTTACCTTTTAGCAAAAACGAGATGTAGCGACGAGGCCACTGGTGTTTCAAATTAGTAAAAGCCGAGCGGGCTTTAGCGATGGCACAAGCAATTGTCGATTCTGGGCTGTATACAAACGGTACTTAGATGCCCCCATCGTTAAGCGGTTCAGTGTTTTAAGCGGCTTGTTGATTGTCCCTCAACAAAGCGATGCTATCGGCGTAATCCAAATTCGCGAGGCGCTCGAGGGAGAAGCTCAACTCTACAGCTCTGGAGACCTGGTGTTCGGTAAATGACAGCTTAGAGGATAAAATTGAAAAGGAAGAGTAGAATAGGATAACATCAGAGGACACAACCTGTGACAACAAACGAAGACGAGATCCGCCCATAAACCACTAACATTGCCCGACGTGTGACCGTACATTTCCCTCAGAATGGCTATAAATTGGTCGGGAACATCTTTCCTTAGTAAACAGTTCCACAAAGCAGATATACATACTGAATCCAATACAGCTCAGATGTCCAGGAACATCACGATTGTTGATCGTGATTAGACGTGGCGGAGCGTGAAGATTTGGTCGACGCAACCCAAGTATGGACAATGAAAGACTTGTTCATCTCGGAAAAATTCTGTAATCACTGAAAGCCTGCAAAGTAAAACGGACACGATAATCTTGGACGCGACAGAGATCAACGAAATTCCGCGGTAATTGGAGCAATCGTTGTGAGCCTTTCTTGTAGATGAGGACAACGATTGATTTTCCCCATGAGATGGGAATCTTATCCTCAGTCCAAAGATTCGTGAACAGCAACAGAATCCCGTTGACAAGCACCGTCCCGTCATCCTCGAATATGGTCAATGGGGTACCAAGACGGCTGGCTTGCCAAACTGCCACCTCGTGGTGCCAGCTGGGTGGTTCGGATTTGCCCCGTTCCAGCGAAAAGTTCGGCGGCAGTGTTCCAGGACGTGGTGAGTTTTTGCCTGGCAAGCGTTCTTCCCATAAAAGGCCACAAATGTCCGTTTAACAAAGCTAGGAAGTAGTGGATGTGATACGCCACTAAATAAAGTCACCGTCCCTTGCTTTGCTTTC